AAATAGTATACACAAGAAACAAGAAGGCTGAACTTGTTTATTAACACCGTTAACGCCGTGGTCGCTTAGCATGCCAAAATGTTGGCAGTCACTTTTTGACTGCCGCAAATTTTGGCTGTTTCTTGGAGGCTGTCAATTTTTGGCCTCCTTACATGCCAAATTTTGGCCTTTTTTCAAAGCTGCAATTTTTTGGCCTCTTTGAATGCCAAAAATCGCCCCCCCCCCCTCCCCTCCCCGTCGGCCCAAATAGCCCCCTGGGGTGGGTAGGCAATTTGTTCGACAAAACCCCTGAAAGTAGGCAACCCACAGCAAATCGCCCCCTCCGTCAGACGGACTTAAAACCGCGCCTGTGAGACAGACATGAGACTTTGCCCATGGTGCTTATGTCCGTCTCATGACCGTCTCAGGTCCAGTCGCAGGTTTTTTTTAGTCTCTGTCCAGTGTAGTCTCATGTACCCCCCCCCCCCCCCCGTGTGAAAGGTGCGGAGTGCGGAAGCTTCGTTGTTAAAAGAGTTCTTTTCGCGCTTTCAGGCATGGAGTCTAGCTTCAAAGAGCGTTCATTGAGGGAGCACTTTCGCGCCAAGCGCCGTTAGCCAATCACGTTCGTTCACAAGCGAAAGGGTGGGGGACGCCACACAAGCGGTCGGAAAGGTCGAATCTCTGGCCGCACAGCAATATCTATGCTGTTGCCATATCGAAAAGGCGACTGCTAAGAAGAAGCAAACAAAATAAACAGGAGTTATCAAAACAAACACATCTCAGTGCTCGATTTTTTCGCTTATTTGCCTCAAAATGATGGAATTTGAAGAAATGATCATCAGCGGATGCAATGACGGGGACGAGGTAACTTTTAGAGTATTTATTTGCACCTGTCGCATGCCGATTGCGGGTCTATCGTACGTTTTTAAGTTGTAGTCTGTTGTGTAACGTTTCAAGGTTTTCCTCACCTGTTTGTTATTGACTCTGAGCATGTGCTTTGGTATGTTCAACGCTCGAAAACTGTCTCTCTTAACTTTAAATGCACCAGTTTGCGTGCCAAACTGATCATTGTGTGTGAGTCTTATGCACAAGAAGACGATTATTCGAAACCTTGAAGCGCCACCTCATTCTCCTGCATCAGCAGTTCTTGTAACCTAGGCCTAACTTGCTTTGCCAGCAGAAGGCTCGTGGTTGTGTCTTTGTCTTGAACTTCCGCGTTTTGCGGTGGCCCCTGGAAATGATTTGTTGATTCTTCTAGTCTTGCATCTTGCATCAAACTTGTTTATTGACCTAATAACTATTTGATACCTCTGGTAACTTTTATTATATTTAATATGAAGCAATTTTCTATGCCTGTTGCTTCACTCATTCTAAAATTTGTCTCATATTGATTTTCTAAACATGTTTAATTATTGTATTTTTGGTCAATCCACTTTCTCTTTAACTCATCTTTTAAATGGTGCAATTCAATTTTTCTGTCATAAATGTGGTTGTCCAGAATATAATGTTTTTTCCTGCTGGAATTTGAATAAAAAGTTTCAAATTTGTGGCTATTGTTTGGGGATATTTGACACCTGACTAATTGTGACATTTTCTTATCTGTAACAGGATGGCTCACGAGAAAGGAAGGAAGGCGGTAAACGAGGCCGCAAACCAGGCAGAAAGTCAGCAGAAAAATCTGATGTTAAAGCTAAACTAGGTACAATCTTCTGTTCACAAATGTCCTTTTATGTTTCAATTGATACTTTCACTCAATTTTGAGTTTTACTCTATGCTGTGGTATGTTTTCAATTTTTCAGAAAGGAGCCGTCAGAGTGCTCGTGAGTGTAGAGCAAGGAAAAAATTAAGATACCAGTATTTAGAAGAACTGGTTGCAGACAGAGAAAAAGCAGTGCTGGCGCTGCGTATTGAGATAGAAAAGGTATCTGTATTGATTAATTTGCTGTAACTCTACTGTTTTGAATAATTCTATCTTATTCTAACTCTAAAAAATTGTATTGCATTGCAGTATAAGGTATGGACAAAGGAACTAGATGATGGACGAATACCGGAAGGCTTCCAAGACATGCTGGAGGAAATGGGAGTTTTGAAGCAAGAGAAATGAAGATTATGTATTTTTGTCCTGTTACTCATCGTCAAACTCATGCTGTTACTATAGTTCTTAATCTTATGTCAGCAGTTAATATTATTATTTGTGTGAATCATATTTTACCATTTTACGTGTTGTCATTTGGCCACAGCTAAGAACAGTAGTTCACAATGGAACTAGAATTGAAATAATGTTACATTCCAATTTCACTCAGTTCCAACTGTGGAAACTATACAAATTATTCTGATTTGTCAGTTTGAATTTTGTTATTTCCTACTTTTCTGACCTGTGGCCGTAGAACATTTGCACACCCTACCTGATTAAACAATTTCGGTGGAAAGGGTTTGGTATCTGTTTCTTTTAAAAAAAATTAACACACACTGGACTAGTTTTTGATGTAATGTTTTATATCTAAACTTTGCACATGCAAAGCTATACCAAATATTTTTAGTCCAAGATTGTGATTTTGTTCATCTTGTCAAGTTGATTGCTCTTATTGGTGTTCTTGTACTGATTATAGGGTTTGGTTGTTGTAGAATTACGAGTCTTGAATGTAAACCACATTTGTTAAGTTTATGTTTATTAATCTATCCATAGATTACAGCTGGGCAGAGATACTGCTGCTAATTGGATACGGATACCTCTTGCCTAATTGCTCTTGGGCTCTAAAGATGGATGAAATGTCCAATGAGAAATTAGCAGTTTCGGTATTCTTTATGGTTTTATTTATAAAAGTACACTTTAGTTTAGCTCTCTAAATTTTGATATGATCATATCAGGCAGATCTTGCTTTTGTTTGTATCCTATAATTGTTATGCTTTTTATTGTCCCTTTGTATGCTGCTGGTTTGAACTATTCATTTGTTTCCTAGCCAATTTCAGATCTGGTCATCTAAATATTGTGCTAGTAAATTAAAGTAGTTAGGCTGTATTCGGGGCCACCGAGCTACAGGGTTCAAAGTATATTCAAATTATTCCTTGTGAAATGAACTACGCGTTAAGCTCTAGAAAATTACACTTCCATGATGTCGTTTACGAATTATAATTAATCTAAAATTGGCCGTTTTTACATGGGCTCTTATGGGAGATGCATGGTTTATTTGACCGTAAACGCAAATGCGCCGGTCAAATAACCGGAGGTGGCATTCATTAGACGCAGAATTTTATTCTGCGTCGATCTATGCAAAGAAAAGTAAATGTTTATGATGTAATAAGAAAGATATTAACGAAAAACAGCCCAAAACTAGCAAGATGGCCGCCGGTCTGTAGTCGTCTGCTTGGACGGCAGGAAAAGCGGCAATTCAAATCACGATACCCTTTTCTGTAAATTGCTTAAATTACTGATTCTTTTGGGGTTATTATACTTAGGATATAGTTTTTAGTCCCTTTTACAACTGTGAGATACTCAAAATCTGTTTTAACATTCATTCTTTGCATTTTAATGACAAGTTGGATCTCGTGTTTGAATTTTGTCTGCTACCAACCTTCCGGTCCGAAAGTGACGAATGTCAGTGTATGCATGTAGAATCAAGATACAGCTCTGAAAATGATTTTCATGGGCTCTGTGTACCTTTAAATTCCACCTTGTACACATTCACAAGCCTTTAAACGTCATCTCAAATTTTTGACCTCGATTTACATACCGGCAATTTTTACGTAGCTAGGTTGACAGCAGGTCAGAAACTAGTCAAGTCTACAACTAAATCAGCCTTTTTAAAATTGGTGTCTGACATTTAAATTGTTCTGAGCTAAAAAATAACACTTAATATTGTCTTATGAGTGCTCCTGTTCACATTTTATATTTTTCCGGTCTTACAAGTAGTACTATTGCACATCCTTCAGTACGTCACTTGACCAGCTGGCAAGTCAGCCTAACTACTTTAAAGTTTTGATTTCAATTAGTGAGTAAAATGGAAGTTTGTGTTTTTCAACATTCATAGAATAGTGGTAAATTTGATCTTATTTTACTAAATTTGCAATTTAGTTGCTGGGACAGCTGGCATGTTTCCGGAAGCTTTCTTTACAACGTTGCCTTTGTGTTAGTAGTTATATATTATCTGTCAGTGTCATTTATAATGAACTCATTAACTGGTGTGTGGCTGTGAATGCTGCTGTACTTTCAGCGTATCTAGCACCAGGACTTCAACTCAGTTGGAATCAAAAAGTGCCTAATAGATCATTGAAGTTTGTGGTACTCAGCCCTTTTTGGTGACAAATGGTTACTGCTTCTTTAAAATAATCATCTGTTCTGTCAAAAGCAGGAAAATATGTGAATTGGCATCATAGTTTAGCACAACAGAGATGATTTCACTGATAATTGCTCTTGGTGTATACCCAATTGTTACTTTCTTGATGTTATTTGATGCATGGCTGTGGACTAAGGCTTTGGGGTAAAAGATAATGCGGGTAGTAGCCATTATTATAGAGTAAGAGCTTTAGTTTTTTAATAAGAAAAGGTGGTACTGTAATTTAAAGTGTGGTCAGTTTTGGTTTCAAAGAATTGAGTGAAGGTGCTTGTCTCCATTGCCATGTGTGATTTACCAAAAATGTTGGTTTTTGTTTGTACTTAAAAAGCTCCCATTTTAATGGCCAGTTTTAATTAATAGTACTCCAGTATTAAGTTAATAAGGTGTTCCTCCTTCCAGTTTACATAATTGTTACACTATACCACTCCATAACAAAAAGTTCTTGTTCAGCCCAATAAAATCTACTTGTTTACCCATTTCTGCACAATTTTTTGTCTCTTTCTTTCAATTATTGAATGAAAATTGATGTGTGAAATTGTTTGTGCATAACTCATTGTTGATTTGTACTCATCTCCGTATCAGTATCACTTCAATCTAGTGTACTTGAGTGCTTCACAGTACCATTTTTGGCTCAATTAAAATTGTTTGTCAAGAAATCTTTTATTGCTGCCTAAGGCTACATTTGTAGTACACACCTGTGCCGAAACAATTTTGTTGGCCACCAGTTGATATTTTGTGATTATTGATTTTGAATAGTAACAGATCATCTCAATGGAATACCTATGTCTCCTTTGTATGATTTTGTTAATTAACTTGCCCTCTCAGAAAGGATAGAGTACATAGCTGCATATTTTTTCCTGTTGACTGAGAGTGCTTCCTTATTGACTTTGACTTGTTTAATTACTTTTTTCACAAAGTTGTCCATGGTTTACGTTTAGTGGCAGCCATAAGTTTGTACTTGTAGAGTTAGAATGAGAGTTCATTCCCTATGTGTTGTTTTAATGTATATCTATGGGAAAAAATCTATTTATTTTGACATGAGTTACAGAAATAAAAGTATTTATCATTATCATTTTGTTGAAAATTTATTCTAGTTTTTTCTCATCTCAAATGCTTCATAACAACCACTCTGATTGTTTTCTTTATCAGTCGTGGGTAAAAATAAACTCAAATCACATTTGAGGTCATAATTGTTAACATGAAATAATGTTCTTGTGAAAGAAAATGCAAGACACTAAAATAAATAAATAACTTCTTAAATTGATGAGCAAACCAACTAAGAAAAGATATCATCACAAGCAACTACCTCCATAATGTACAAAAGTCTTGAGTCATCTAAAAAAGAAGCTCTGCCATACAAAACAATTGATTCTTCAGCTTGATCCTAAATGATCATAAGGTACTCCTATGCATTCAAGTCTTAAGAGCTTTCTCAGGCCTTAGCCTGAGCCTGACTAGCCTTCCATATCCTGTCCTTTGGAAGATTTGGGGTTTAGAATCGTCTGCCGCCACTGTAAGGAGGCAGGTAGTCGTTTGTCGGTCTAGGGGGAGGAGGTGGTGGGGG